GGGGTGGGGGATAAGGGGTTGGGGAAGAAGGGTAGGCCTGGTGCAGCCTCCTTCCCTGTAATTGGCTGATGTTTTGTTTTGCAAATGAGGACATGCTGGCAACAGGTAACTGTTTAAATATCCAGTAAGGCAGTGATGGTGATGTGAAAACCAGCTGTCCAGCTTTTCCCAAAACAGCTCCCTGTGCTGCATACTTCATTGGAGGCTCAGTTCTCACTTCTGATAATGATGAAACAGAGCTTCTGATTTCCCAGACACGAGTAACAAAGTGTAGTCTCAGAGGGCCTGCTTCCTTCACATCTGCAAATTCTTAGAAATGTTTCTAGAAATCTGGTAAGGCTTTGCAGTGAGAGGGGCTAAAGATGAATAAAATCTGCAAATAAAGTGGGAATCACTGCTTTGCCCAATACTAAGAAGTATGTTTACATTACACATGCACACTTCTTTTTGAATTCTGCTTCCAAATTTCTAGAAAGAACATATGCCTTTCTTGTGAACACAAGGCACCCCAAGATAAGACGACAGATAGAGCAAGGGATGGACATGGTCATTTCCTCAGTGATTGGAGAAAGCTACCGGCTCCAGGTGAGTGTTAGACTGTCTGAGTCCAAGACTGTGACCACACAGAGAGGGGTTCGAGCACTTCATTTAGGGCTGAGTCCCTAGAGCTCAACTACAACTTAGCTGTATCCAGACAGGCATTTTCCATTGCTTCATCGTCACTACCAATAAAATGAGCGGAGTTTCTAACAACTTATTGGAAATGGGGTAATAATGAATGTCAGTCAACTTGACCAAGCACTTCAAGGTCTGTAGATGTAATGTGATGGAAATGCATAGGTCTGTTTTGAAAAGTTAAGGCAACTGTTTAAAAATATCTGTCAGTGTAATATTTTAAACAATAATAAAATTAAAAAAAAAAATCTGTCAGGCCTGGCCGGGCGTGGCTCAGTGGTTGAGTGTCGACCTAGTATCCAGGTGATTGGTGTTCAACTCCTGGTCAGGGCACATGCCTGGGTTTCGGACTCGATCCGCGGTCGGGGTTGTGCAGGAGGCAGACGATCAATGACTCTCTCATCATTGATGTTTCTATCTCTCTCTCCCTCTCCTTTCCTCTCTCTGAAATCAATAAAGATATATTTTTTAAAAATAAAATAAATAAAAATATCTGTCAGAATAATAGAGAAATAAGGGTGTGACTTTTGGGCAGTTGTTATTTCTATAATATAATTCTGTAGTAACATAGAATTCTAGGATACAACATCATTATATGCATGAAATTCTTCCGATGTTTCTCCGTCTTTCAGTTTGATTTTCAAGAGGCAGTAAAGCATTTTTTTCCTCCGGGAAATGAGGTGATTAATGGAGAAAATTTGAGCTTCGCCTATGAATTCAAAGCCGATGCGTTATTCGATTTCTTCTATTGGTTTGGGCTCAGCAATTCCACTGTAAAGGTGAATGGAAAAGTTCTGAATTTGTCAAGTACAAGACCAGAAAAGAAGGAGACAATTAAATTATTTCTGGAAAAAATGAGTGAACCGTTAATTCGAAGGAGCAGCTTCTCTGACCGAAAATTCAGTGTAACTTCTAGAGGTAGGTTAAAAATTCTCATAGTTGAATAAAAGGGTAGAATAGTATAATGGGAGAGGAGAGTCAATGGCTGGAGAAGGTAAGACTCTTGATAAAGGGGAAATATATCACATTATTCAGAAAGTAAAAAGTGAGACATGTTTACTACCAAAAAGAAATATAGTGATTTTTCCTGTTAGGCTACTTAAAGTTTTCTGACATAGTAGCCACATTGTGCAGCACACCCAGAAAATAACTTTAAAATATATTATTAATTTAAATGCATATTAATGCTCATTTGAATGTTGTTAACATTTATTTAAATATTATGAATGATGCTTTCCTGATGTGCATATTCTGGGCAACAGATGGGAACAAAGGTGTGAGCTGGAGGAGGAGTCTACATGGTTGATAGCTATCAATTTTACATCCATTAAAAAAATTCGCCATCGCCACTGTGGCTCAGTTGACTGGAGCATCATCCTGTACACCAAAAGGTTGCGGGTTCAATTCCAGTCAGGGTATGTGCCCAGGTTGTAGGTTCAATCCCCAGCTGGGGCACGTACCTGAGGCAGCCAACTGATGTCTCTCTCTCCCTCCTTTCCCTGTAAAATCAGCCAACATGTCCTTGGGTGAAGATAAAAGTTGGAAGGGCTCTCCACACTGAGCAGGCGACACGTTGTAATGTGATACATTCTGCATTTTGATATCCAGTGCTCCTCCAGGGACTTGTCAGACTGGTGGAGCTGAGTAGTTGGCCCTGGTCACACCTCCTCTGAGCCCCTTCTCCGTCCTGTGCTAGTTGGGCTGGAAAGCAACGTCCTTGAACCAGGACTTTTGCTGCTAATTCTAACAACCAACCAAAAACAAACAAACAAGCAACCAGAAAAACCCCACCTGTCTCTATGAACCTACAGTTTTCAGAATGTTTAAATGTGGGATACAGTCTTCATTACTTGTATTTAATAAGTTGCTTTCTTCCAATGTTTATAGCAAAGACGCTTACTCTAGCTAGTTCTTATCTTGGAAGTCGCCCACCTGTTTCTCTCTGTCTCTGTCTCTGTCTCTCGCTCCCTCTCCCTCCTCATGCACCTCCCTCATTTCCTCTCTTCCCTCCTTCCCCCTGTATCTGCCTCTCCCCC